TGCTCACTCCCTGTTTCCCTGCAGTCCCCCAGGAGATGACCGTATTCCTGAGGGAGCACTTGAACTACTGGTACAGCCTCAAAGCCTATTACCTGGCAAAGACCATGGCTGATGTGCCCTTCCAGGTGAGTTTTCCGTGGATTTAGTCACCACCCTGATGCTGATGTGCCCTCCTTGGTGCCCTGGGCTGGCTGTGGAGGCGTCCCTCCTCCCCCAGGACGCTCTGTGGGGTGGGGATGGCCCAGCAGGGTGATGTCTCTGTCCCCATGCAGGTGATCTGCCCCATCGCCTACTGCAGCATCGTGTACTGGATGACGGGCCAGCCACCCGAGGCCACGCGCTTCCTGCTCTTCTCCGCCCTGGCCACCGCCACGGCCCTGGTGGCCCAGTCCCTGGGGCTTCTCATCGGAGCTGCTTCCACTTCCCTGCAGGTCTGAGGGGGCTTTTGCCTGTTCTGTGCAGAGTTGCAAGGGCCCCCAAGACAATTTGGGGTGAAGTGCTGCCCGCAGGTGGGCAGAGACGTGACCCCCAGTGGCCTCTGCCCCCCAGGTGGCCACCTTTGTGGGACCCGTCACTGCCATCCCCGTGCTGCTCTTCTCGGGCTTCTTCGTCAGCTTCAAGACCATCCCCACCTACCTGCAGTGGAGCTCCTACGTCTCCTATGTCAGGTGGGCCCCCAGCTCTGGGCAGAGCTCCCTGTCCTGGGCTCCCCTGGGCCCCTGGTGACCCTCAGGGTGTGCTCTGCCCTAGGTATGGCTTCGAGGGGGTCATCCTCACCATCTACGCCATGGAGCGCGAGGACCTGGAGTGCCTCGAGGACTTCTGCCCTTTCCAAAAACCCATCAAGATCCTGCAGGAGCTGGACGTGGAGGAGGCCAAGCTCTACCTGGACTTCCTCATCCTGGGCATCTTCTTCGTCATCCTGCGGCTCCTGGCTTACCTGGTCCTCAGGTACAAGGTGAAATCTGAGAGATAAAGGGGCCCCGGTGCCGTTCCCGGGCCTGGCCTGCTGTGAGAGATGTTCTACAGATGGACACGGTGCTCCTGCAGGTCCCGGACCGTGGCGGAGGCACTGGGAGGTGCCAGCCAGGCCTGGCTCAGTCGAGAAGGGTTTTGAGACATCTCGGAACTGTTTTAACCTTCCCACACACTCTTCATTGCAAAACGTTTTGTACAGCCCTGGCATGTGCCACCTTCCCCCCCAGGACTGATGAGCCCCACGGAGCTTGGGTCCCCTCTCGTTGTCCCTGCCTGGCGCTGCCCTGGGGACACCAGGGACAGTCCTGCCGAGGTGGTTTGTGTTGAGCACGCCTGGCAGGAGCCTGCTCCGTGCAGGGGGAGCAGCGGGCTGGAGCTGGGCTGGGAGGAGGGAGCTGCAGAGTTGGAAGTGCAGCTCGTGGCCCCGTTCCTCATCCTGGCCTGCAGCGTGTGAGTCGGGGCTGAGAAGAGCCCAAAGATGCCATAGGTGAAGTTGCACAAGGCTTTAGTGTTTCCTGTCGCTGTAGCCACAGAGATTGCTGCACCCCCTTTCCTTTCTGTGCAAATCCTCCTCTTTTTTTCCCTTTTTTCTTTTTCTTTTTTTGAGTTTAGTTCTGGTTTTTTCCCCACAAACCCCACTGTATCCCATTCTTCACGGAGGGGAAAGGGAGCCTGCAGGCAGAGAAGGACTTGGGGCTCTGTCTCAGACTCCTGCTGGGACACCATCCTCAGAGCCAAGGTCTGTGGGAGCAGGACAGTGTTCTCAGATCTTAGGGAGTGTCACATTCAGTCCCTGTTGACTCTGGGGTCTGAGACAAGAGGGTCTGAACCAAATCAACCAACATGGAGAGAAGTGACTGGTCCCTTGCACGGAGCAAGGAGGATTTAGGTTCCCACACCCTGCCAGTGCCAGGAGGCTGAAAACCAGGGCTGGGCTGAGCTGTGTCATCACTGGAGCCTCTGCTGCAGGAGGAGAGCTGGCCCTGAGCCCTTCCCCTGCAACCTCTCTTCCCCCGGCACCACTGGGGCTGTCTCAGCAGGACAGGGCGGACAAGCCTCGCTCAGCACCATGCAAGGAGGGGATGCCAAGGACACCTGGCATGTCACAGTGCCAACCCCCCAGGGTGACACTGCAGAAAGGGGTCCCAGCAGTGCCTGGACTGGAAACCAGATGAGATCCCAGAGAGGTTTGTTTGCAGCGGGTGACCTGGACGCTGGGAAGCTCTTTGCACATCGTGACTGGTGCCAGGATAAGGTCCCTTCTTGGCACATTTCTCTGGTGGCTGCTCCAAAGTCACACACCTTGCAGAGGGAAGGCAATTCCACACCGTGCTGGCTCTCCAGAGGAACTGAGCTGAGCCCAGAGCTGGTGGGGCATCTGCACATGCTGCTGTGCTGGGAACACAGCACCCTGCTTACCTGCACAGGCTCCGTGGGTGTGCTGGCACTGCTGGCAGCGGGCTGCACTTGTCACCCACAGACATGGGAACCCGCAGGTTTTTGGCAAGCATGGACACGGGGGAGGCAGCCCTGCCCCACCCTGGCAGGCTGGCCCTGGTTCATGTCAGCCTGGGGAATCCTGTCCTGGCACTCTGAGCAGCCAGGGATTGCAGGGCAAGTGCCAGATTCCAGCAGAATCCTGGAGACTGATCTTTGGTTTTGCTGGCTTGGGTTGGGGCTGCACAGCAGAGTCTGGCTGGGCTGACACTGATGCTGGGCACTCAGCAAAGCTGAGCTTCCCCTGCCTGGAGAGCATCGAGGAATGTTTGGCCATGGGGTCCTCCTGCACACAGGGTCTGGAAGCAGGACACAGCCTGCTGCCCTTTCCATGCTGAGCATCGAGGTTGCTCACACCCAGGGGCTGTTGTCTGACTTTTCACTATCCCTCACAAAATTCCCCTCTGCTCCTGGATCTTCCACAGTGGAGCTGTGTCAGCTGGAGGGCTGCAGTGCTGCCAGCCCCAGGGGCACAGAGGAGCGGGGGACAGTCCCTGTGCCTGCTCTGTCATGAGGTGCATGGATGGGCAGAGAGCTGGGAGATGTGGGGCTGTCACCCTTCTCCATCCCCTTGTCTCTGGAGCTGAAAGGACTGATGCCCTGCTTCTGTCCTGCTCTTGGGCTGGGACTAGTTAAGCCTGGCCCAGCACAGAGCATGCTCTGCTGGGGTGAGGCTTTCCCCTGGATGGATCCCGAGATGCAGGAGGTGTCAGTGGGGCAGCTTTGCACAGCTCCTGCTTCCTCCCTGGCATTTGGGGCACTTGTGGTGGGTCCTGTTTTCTGCACCCTGGAGGTGCTGCCATCCCCAGCTCTGTGTCCTGCACCTAGCACACCTGGATACCCCTGTGCCATCACAGCCAGGGCCACCACCGCTCCCAGGAGGACCAGGACAAGATGGACTAGCTTATGGAGCAAAGGGGCTACCAGCAGGCACCAGCAACTGCCACTGCTCGTGTCCTCCAACACACAGGGAAGGCTTTGTTGAACAGGCTCTGCTGCTTGCAGAGAAACCCTGTGGAATGTTGCTCCCCAGCTCGGAGCAACACTGCCAGGGCAGTGCCAGCCTGCCTGGGATGGAGCAGCTGGCAGCACCTCTGGGATGTCCAGGAGGGCTCAGCACAGCCTGTGCCTCCTGCACCCCTGAGCTGCAGTGTCCCAGCCGAGCAGGTATGTGGCCACTGCGGGACAGAGGGCCAGGACAAACCCTGGAGCTGCAGGATGGCTGGGCAAGGGCTCTGGGGAGTGGGGGTGATGGGGCAGGCCACCCATCCCCGGGGCAGCAGGACACAAGTGAATGTGTTGGTAGGAGGGGGCTGAGGAGCGGGGGATGTGGCACAGGGCAAAGGCACCCTTGGTGCTGCCTGAGGAACTGAGCCAGGGTGCCACCGTGCTTTCCCTCGCTTCAAGGACAGTCCCAGAGGTGGTGGAAGGTGCGGGGAAATGCAAGGAGAAGAAGCAGGTTTGCACTGAGTGGGCTGAGCACCCTGGGATTTATTGCCTGGGTGGTCCCTGCCCTGCAGGAGCAGGACAGGAGGGGTTTTCTCTGCCCAGGCATGGCAGAGGGACAGGGTGCAGCCATCCTGCTCCAGGGGGCCCTTAGGGAAGCAGCAAGGATGCACTTTATCAGGGCAGGGAAGTGGAGCCGTGGTTGCTTCTGGCTGCAAGAATCCCATGAGAGAGCATCTGGATAATCACGAGGAGTGTGATGGAGGAGAGCAGGCTTCTTCCCCCACACCTCCTCTCCTGCCCCTGCCTTCCCTTGTGATGCACTTTGAGGGTGGGGTTCAAGCAGTGGCTCTGGCTCCCTGGGAACACTGGTTGAGCCTCAACCCACCAAAAACTGCTTCAGCCCCTTTGGCCCAAGGCTGTGTCAGGTTCTGCCTCTCACGGGGGCGGTGATGGCAGCCAGGCAGGGGGATGGCCACTCACCTCCATGCATGTCCAGGCCACCTTTGTCACACGCACAAGAAGAGCAAATGCTTCATCACCTGGCTGGGGTTTGCTGGAGGGGAGACTGGGCTAGAACAGGGAGGGGATGGGGCTTCTCCCAGGGTTTCACCCCTCTCCTAAATCAGGCAATAAAACAGTGTTTCCTTCTCACTGTGTGTGGACACCATTTGTCCTGTCCCTCTGCCACGGGCAGCCTGTGGCTGCCTGGCATCTCTGTGTGTGTCCCTGCCACGCTGGACCCTGTGGTTTTCCAGCCTTCACCGTGTCCACACGTGCAGAGGAGGCTGGACAGTGGGGGGCACGTGTGATCTGTGGGGCACCACACAGAGAAGTGCAGGCATTGAAACTCACATTTCCACAAGACCACAGGCGTCAGCTGCTTTCTCCCTGGGACAGCTTGCCAATATAAGATGCAGGTAACAGCTCAAAGGCCGAGGGAGTCTGCTGGCACAGCTCTGTTGTGGCAGCTGCTCCGGGGGGCATTTGCCCAGGTCTTTCTGCCTTGCTGGGAGGAGGCTGTGAAGCGGGACCAGGGCACTGCTGCCCACAGCCGCAGCCTGGCAGGAACCAGGCAGGGTGGAGGTGAGGCCCTGGGCTCTCCAGGCTGGGCTGCACATGCAGGTAAGTGCCCCGCAGGGACGGGGTGCCAGGTGCCAGCTTGCTGCTGGCGCCCAGCAGTGCTCACCAGAGGGTGCCGGGAGCTGCTGGGCAGGAGGAGATGTTTTGGTTTGTGTCGGTGTTTCCGAGATGCCAGCTGTACTTGTTGGATTTCACACATCAATAAAACTTATATTTATAGTGTACTACCTGCTGTCTCCCTTCCCTGAGAGCCTCGAGGGCACACGTGTGATGGGGGGCGTTGAGTTTGGGGTGTAAATCTGGCCCGGCAGCCTTACCCAGGTGTGACCCCTCAGTCCCAGCAGCCCTGGGTGGGCTGGCACTTCCCAGGACAGCACCCAGGATCTGACAAGAGTGCGTGTGTCCCCAGCGCCACATCTGTACTTGCTGGCTGGCCAGGGCGGACCAGGCAGCAGCGAGAGGGCAGGTCCAGATGTGCGTGTTTGTGTGTGTTAAACAGGCACACCCAGGCGCTGCCAGCACAGCTCCTTCTCCCGCTGGGGAGGGATCCTCTCCGGAGCAGAACTCGTCCTTGCAGGCTCCAGTTGCACAGCCGGGCAGCAGCTGGCGATACAGAGCCGCCAGATGTGTCCGGGGGACATCGCCGCCTCGCAGCACATCTGGTAAGAGCGCGGCTCCCCCAGTCCTGTGCGTGTTTGGGGGGGCGTGAGGGGTGTGGGTGTTTCTCCAGCCTCCAGCCGCTCTCCCAATCCTGCTCGGGGAGCTGGCAGCGCCGGCCGTGGGGCGGGCCAGGGCAGGATGGCGTTGCAGGAAG